GTTGTTTGTATGATGTATTAGACGCGTCATATAGTATGACATTTTGTTCACTCTCGATAATCTTACGTGTCCAAAATAATTTATTTTGGTAAATTATTTTTTAATTAATTTATTTCAGTGATTTTTATTTTTTTATTTATTATGGCCAAAAGGCCCATAATTGAGGACTTGTGAGATTGATTCTAAAGCCCTTGCTTCACATGATTTCTCAACTGATGTGTCCCTTCCCACTATTGTTGTTGCTACTAAACCATATGAGGAATTACCTTTGTTTATTCCTCCTGCTCCAATAATTGATCCTACCATTCCTCTATCTAGAAATGATCAAGTGTTTAACATTGAAAATTTGAATTTGTTATTACACTTTTTTTTTCATTTTCCAAACAACTATCGTATCAATGGCTTCAAGCTAAGGAAGTCTTCTTGTTATCACTTCCTTTTCCTCTACTTCATCCATTAGTTCCTGATGAAGTTGGCCCCTCACAAGTCCATCTAGAAGAATGTGCTACTATACCCATTGGTGGCCTAATTCAACCTACTTCCCATGCTTCTGATGAAGTCTTCTCTAAGTGTGAGCCTAAGACTAAACCTATTTACATTGAACTTGTGTCTCTAAATATGCTAAAAAGAGACTCTCAAATGTGGAGAAACATAATTCATCTTGCTATAAAATAACATAAGTGGATCTTCTCCAACTAGGCAAAGTTGTAGTATAGTCTTGATAATTATTTGGACAAATTCCTCTTATTGGAAGAGTGGATTACTACCAAACTTGTTCCTAGAGTCATACCAGAGGTGCCTCCACCTTCTCATGCTCCTCCACCACCTTTTAAGGAATTGAACAATCCCTCATCTAAGTCTTTAGAGAATTCATCTCCTTCCAAGACAAAGTGAATACCTTTTTGATCATGACAAAAAAGAGGGGGACAAGTTCTAGGGATCAAGTTTTAGGAATCTAGATTGTAGGACTTAATTTGATTTCCAAATTTTATGGATAACTGTATAATGACAATTCCTTTAGTTGCATTTTGTGTGCAATTTTTGCTGCACCTACATTTTGATAACTAATTTGTGTAGATTATAATTTGACTTTTGTACTGTGATGCTTAAATTGAATGTTCATATATTTGTTTATACCTTCATATACTTGATCAAAATATCTTATCTAAGCAATAATAATTGTATATTAATTGATGAATCTTTGATATTAATTTATGCATGTGTTGAGGGGGAGTTTTGATGGGGGCAGCCCAACATAATAACAACTCTGAAAAATAGTAACAATGCAGTGGAAATTAATAAATTCCCTACTTGCAAGAATATGCGAGAAGCACCAACACAATAGAGCAAGAAAGACAACATAAACATGTAAGAGATACAAATATTTTTAACGTGAAAAATCTCTCAATATAAAGGTAAAAACTATGAGTTGCCCAAACCAAAGAAAAACTCCACTATGATCAACAAATGGTAGAAAAAGGTCTCTAAATAATACACCAAATAATGCTTACAATCAGCCAAAAAAAAATTGAGCACAAATGCTTATAATTGAGAAATAAGAAGATAAAAAGCCCCAAAATATAATTGTTACTGCAAGATGCCTTTCTCCCACTCTAGACTATCTATTAACGATCCAACCGTTAATATGAAATGTCACGTCACGTGAACCTTCTGTCCAAAAATTAGCTGAATCCACTGGTAAATGAATCTCCACTAGTAATTCAACAAATGTTGCTCGGTGGATATGGGACCTGTAACTTTATTTTTTTCTCTTCTCTCTTGTTGTTTTCTCAAATTGAGTCACTCTCTCTTTACCCTAATTTTATCCTTCTCCCTTGGTTAAGTGATACATGGTGAACTTACACAATTTGGGCCTATTCACCACATAAGAAAGGAGCCCAAAACCCAACAATTAAGTTTATCTAATAAACAATTCTTAAATTAAGGGGTTGAATATGTGCAATGTATGATAAATAGAAGATATGCAATTTAGAATCTCTACAATAACCTTACACAATAAATCTAAATTGATTATGAGATTTATGGAAGGTATTTACTCCTCTTAAAATTTGCATCTAAGTTTTGTCATTATTAAAAGGGGGGGGTTGTTGAATCATGCAAAAGAATATAAGTTTTAATAATGACAAACTCTTAGTATTATATTTTATTACAAAAGAGTTATCATGTGATGTGCTAATAATTTTGTTCAAGTGTTTCAAAAGTATGCATAATTGATTAGAAGGTTGACTAAGTTTAAGCAGTTTAGAAGGTTCACAAGACATCTTTACATATGAATCAATTTGTTGGACTTCCTATTAGCATTAAAGTCTTGTCTTTCCCAAGCAAGATGATGAGCATCCTATGTTTCCTATGCCTTAGGAGAAATTTCTTGCAGACTTGGCTTAGAAAACATCCATAAAATATATTGATCATGAGTTAGTAGAAATGTCTCACACCAAGTTAAACATTTACAAAATATATCTTCAAGATCATGAATACCCAAGCTATACAAAAGGAACCTTTCCTAGAATTATATTCCATACCGATACTCGTAAAAAAAAAACATTTTTTTTCTTCATTTTTTCATTACTAGTCACATGTTCACATCATCACTTATCCTGGCTAGGAATGCATGCGAAAACTTTACACAGCATAGCCATTGGCTTGAATATTCATATGCCTAACATCATAGCCACATAGTGTTCTTAGAGCTCTCACACCTAACATGGTCAACACTAGACCTAATCTCTAAGCCATAAAGAGTAGTCTATACTCTTTTGAGTTCCTGCACTGGATGCAACATCGCTATGAAAGATTCAGATAGTGTTTAGTTTCATCACTTTATTTCATTATTGTAGAAATTGTGAAAAATTGCATTGGATGCAACATCACTATGAAAAATTTAGATAGTGTTTAGTTTCATCACTTTATTTCATTATTGTAGAAATTGTGAAAAATTGCATTGGATGCAACATCACTATGAAAAATTTAGATAGTGTTTAGTTTCATCACTTTATTTCATTATTGTAGAAATTGTGAAAAATTGCATTGGATGCAACATCACTATGAAAAATTTAGATAGTGTTTAGTTTCATCACTTTATTTCATTATTGTAGAAATTGTGAAAAATTGCATTGGATGCAACATCACTATGAAAAATTTAGATAGTGTTTAGTTTCATCACTTTATTTCATTATTGTAGAAATTGTGAAAAATTGCATTGGATGCAACATCACTATGAAAAATTTAGATAGTGTTTAGTTTCATCACTTTATTTCATTATTGTAGAAATTGTGAAAAATTGCATTGGATGCAACATCACTATGAAAAATTTAGATAGTGTTTAGTTTCATCACTTTATTTCATTATTGTAGAAATTGTGAAAAATTGCACAAGTTTCGAACTCTTCTTTTCTCTTCATTCCATTTGGTCAATTTTGAGATGAAAGCTTATTACTACTCGTTTATATCAGTTACTCAATTTGCGCCTCAATTACTCTATTATTAACTCGATAAATCAATCTCCACGTACTTTATCAAACTACGATTTTCTACAGGAACCTAAGGGTTTCAAAAAGATTTACAATTCAAGCACATGCATGTTTAACCATGCATTATAGAGCACAATTATACCATCAATAATACAAATTCAATCCAGATAAATAACAATATATCTTCTTAAATACAAATAATTAATGGGACTCTTAAGATCCCGTACAAATCAACAAAGAATACCTAAAATTGGGATTGTGGGTTAATTTTTCCACCCAACAAATGCTCAATAACAATAGGAGATCTTTAGGGTGGTTCATTCCTTCAACCTCTACTTTTTCCTAGAGATTTTTTAAAGTAAATGAGAAAAAGATGAGAGAAGCATACATGTAAAACTAATGGTTAAGCCCTTATAAAAGCTTCCTAACCCAACCATTAATTACTTCTTGGGTTAGAGAAATTAACTCAAAAATTAAAACATCTCTTTTCTCTTCTGTATTGATAAAAATAATACAACTTCCAAAATAACACATAATTAATATAACTAGTATAATTACTTTTGCAAAACCCATCATGATTAAATACAACTTACATAATTTGTTTCCAAAACACATATTTATTATTATTAATTATTTTAAATAACTTGGGGGTGTTATATTACTTTGTGTTGCTCTCACATTAACGTGACTTGATGATGCAATCCCAAATACATTGGTTATCTACTTGTTGTCTTAGAGTAATTTATTTCTTTATGTAAAAGCAAAGCTTCCGAAGGAAGAACGTAATAATATCTAATATTAAATTAGTCCAATTTTAACACACGTTTGGACAAAAAAATCAAGCTATCACTATATGTTGTATTGAGTTGCTTAAATGTCCCTTGATGCACAGTTCCAAACACATCAATAGTCTATATATTGTCATCTCAAACCAAACACTATCAGACATCATAACTTTTTAACGAAGAACATTATACCTAATATTAATATTATTATTGTATGACGTGGTTTCAAACACAATGATAAACATAAATTAGACTAAGAGTTTTTTTAAATGTAAATATTATTATTGTTTGACATGGTTTCAAACACAATGATAAACATAAATTAGACTAAGAATTTATTTAAATACAAGTGAAAAATATTTTTGGGAACTTCTTTACAAAAAATAGAAAGATATTTTTTTTTTAATAAAAAACTCTCAAAAAATACTTATAAATTTATATCCAAATGGACTTTATGAACAATATATTTAATACTAATGTTAAAGTAGGCCAATTTTACGATATATTTAATTTGAAAGATAATATGTAAGTTGGTCATTTTAGAAGTAGCCATTTCTATTTTCTCGATTCTTAGAAATGTATATTTATATAAATTGGTTTCCGCAAATATCATTTGTTAACAAGTTAGTCCTTCCTTGTTGTCAACTTAAACAATCACAAGTGGTCATCTTCAGAAAATTAAATTAATTAACTCTCATGATTTTATATATACAATGCTTAAGAAAGTCTTTAAATACTTATAATTTTAAATAAATATAACTGGATTTAACTAAATTACCCCCTCTCTCTCTTTACATATAGAGTATGATCATTCACTGAACCCTCTCATATTGAAACCCAAGATATGCAACTAATATTACTTGTTATTGGAATTACATTGTTCATCTAGACTTCAATTACTCTCATCTTGGATTTGTAATGGTTGGCATTAGCTACATCAAAACCAAAGCCAAACATTTATTTTTATTTTTTTCACTACACTCCAGATCTGGTCATCTTCAGAAAATTAAATTAATTAACTCTCATGATTTTATATATACAATGCTTAAGAAAGTCTTTAAATACTTATAATTTTAAATAAATATAACTGGATTTAACTAAATTACCCCCTCTCTCTCTTTACATATAGAGTATGATCATTCACTGAACCCTCTCATATTGAAACCCAAGATATGCAACTAATATTACTTGTTATTGGAATTACATTGTTCATCTAGACTTCAATTACTCTCATCTTGGATTTGTAATGGTTGGCATTAGCTACATCAAAACCAAAGCCAAACATTTATTTTTATTTTTTTCCCTACACTCCAGATCTGTACTTGTTGCGGCCAGAACCGTTTTGGTGACTTGTTTGATGACCCTCATCAACTTTCTTGTACACATAAACCTTAGCAAGCCACACATAAACACACAAGTTAACAGCACTAAGAACAGCCAGTACCCAGTAAAAGTAATCAAGGTGTGCCCTATTGATGTTGTCCCCTAGCCACTTGTCCCCAGCCCTAGATGTTATGGCCTGCACCACAACTATGACTATGTTGCCAACAAAGCTTCCAACCCCCACAATGCTTATGTATGCTGCAGCCCCCAAGCTCCTGAGTGCCTCAGGCATTTGGTCATAGAACAGCTCCTGAAGCCCCACAATTGTGAATGCATCAGACATCCCTGTGACCATGTACTGAGGAAGCATCCACCATATGCTGATTGGTAACACTGCTTTGGGGTCATCTATTAGGCCATGCTCCCTTGCAACACTAACCCTTTTGGCCTCCGTGAGTGCTGCCACAACCATGTTGACTATGGATAAGAAAAGTCCAACCCCGATTCTCTGCAGCACTGTGATCCCGGTTGGCTTTCCTGTGAATTTTCTCATCAGTGGCACGAAGACTCGGTCGTAGAATGGCACTGCTAAAAGGATTGTGACTCCAACTAGGCCTTGAAGTGATGCTGGAGGGACTTGAAAATGTGGCCCTAGGGAACGCAACATGGTGGCACCTTGCTTGATGTAGTATGTGTGTACTTGAGCTTGTACAACAGTGAACATTAAGCAACTTAGCCATATTGGAATCAAGCGAAGGACAAGCTTCACTTCCTCAACTTGTGTCACTGAACATAGCCTCCAAGGGTCTCTTGTCTTGCTTTTGGCATCAATTTCATCAATGATCGCTGCCTTGTCCAAAAGTCTGTTTCAATTTCACCGTTTTTCCTTTTAGTAATGATGTGGTAATAGAAAAGTGTCAACAAAATCACAGGGAAAAGAGAGTCTAGTCTAATATTTCTTCCACAATGAGTTGTTGGTATCACTCCAACCATACATAAACCCATCCCATGTGGACCCCATGAGTTTTGATTGTTTCAGAGTTGACTCCATTGTACGATCTATAAAATCTCCAATGGGATTATTAGAAAGTGTTGTGGGAATAATTTTTCTATGAGTGGTGCAACTGATTAGATACTTGGAATGTATTAAAATAATGGTAAAGTCTGTGTTGAAACATGTGTTGTTCCTATTTTAATATTATTCCTTGCTTTTGGTTAGTTTGTTTATAAATACTTAGAAGTGTTTGTGTTAAGGATGCAAAGAAAAAGAGAGACCTCCTTATTAAAACGAGATATGAAAAATGTTACAGCAGATGTGTGTGTGAAAGGATTCCACTTTTTTAAAGTGAGAATATTAACTAATGAGTAATGAATATTAACTTTCTAATTGATAATTGAAATTGTAACTAACTTCAAAAATGCATTTCTTCTTTTCATAGAGCATTAATTTGTGGAAAACCTACTTATTCCTTTTACAAAGATAGTTGACTTTGATTAAATAATGTTCATAATCTCTAACAGAAGCAAAAGTTCAACATATTTGCTCAATGTATCTTTATCATGAAACTAAAATGGCATATTCTTAATTCAAGTAAAACAAATGTAATATCAACTATTGATCAAACTTTACTCTTCCCACCACAAATTCAACATCATTCCTCCCACTTGCACTTAGTTATAAACAACATGGAGAAAATGTTCCATGCACCAAAAAAACAAAAAAAAATATTGATTTTGTTTCAAAATGGGTGTGACGTAAAGCATAGGTTTTGCAAGTTCATGAAGCAAAGTGTAGAGAGTTCTAGTAGTAGAGAGTGGCACCCACCTATATTGATGAGTATGGAGCAAAGTGTGAAATTTGGGTTGAACATGGAGATGATGGGGCTCATGATCCTCCTCCTCCTCCTCGTAGCAATAATTGTCATGGCCATGCGTGAACTGCACGCGCCACTTGCGAGCCGCGGCAACAAAAACTTGGGCCAGCCTCGTGAATGGGCTCCCTGTTGGGCCTTCCTTTCTGTACCTTTTGATTCCCAACAAGAAGAGTGCCAATGCCAAAGCCAACACACCTGCCAGCACCCCCAACCCCACCCCCCACCCAACATTGTCCTGTTCCAATTCAATTCACATCAACATCATCAATTACAATTATTTTCATTGCCTCTCTTCACCAAAACACCATCAAGGAACACAGGGCCCAATAAATATTTTACTCATGTAATCACTTATTCTTGCCGATGACATCATTTATGTGTGGTTTAATTTTGGTAAACATAGAGTTATATGGGGTTTGTTGTTACATCATGTGTGGTAATAATCAACGTAGAGTCGTGGGGTTGTGTGATTTTTCAATGTTTACATATGTTCCACACATTATTATAAAAGGGTTTAATTGTCCTTCATCTTATCAATGAATATTAAACCATCATTGATATAACAATGAAAATGACTACTATACAAATCAACAGACTTATTGTTGGTATATGATTAGACGACGCTTTAGGAAATTATTAAAAAGATGATTTATCAAAACCATCACTTAATTACTAAGAGATTGTTAATATATAGTAGAATAAACTCCATTTTGTTTTTGTCTATATTTAACCTAACCTCTTTTTGTAAAATGTAAAAGTCAGCGTCCACTCTTCTCACCTTTTACAATGAATCCGTTTTTTCACTTAACTTGTCCAAGGGTGATGCATATAAATGGAAAAGACTTGTATGTGGAATATGTTCCCATGTTAGTGAAACTTTATATTTTAATAAAGAAATGTGTGTGATTCATAAATTCCCCTTGTATGTTTATCCACTATAGTACTGTTCCATTTGTTTTGGCGTTACGTTACACACACAAACACAAATAATTATATATTGTTTCTCGCATTTTACGTGTCCCACCTACCTCGAAAACCATTGTTTTATAAAAGAAAATGTTATTTAATGTCAGATCTTATATTATATTTCATATATGTTTGTGGCAATCTTTTTATTAATTAATCACTTTCTTATTACACTTCATAAGATGTTAGTGTTTAGTGGATAAAATAATAAAAATATACTTTACAATACTTTCAACCGTGATTTTTTTCCCCGTAAAACAGATGTAGAATTTCAATCATAGACTTCAAAAGAATAGATGAACAATTAGAATAATAATTTGATCATAATAATACAAGAGAACTTCAAAGTGCTAAGGAAACAATTTTATTCTTAACTTGCGTGTTAACAATTTAATTCTTAACTTGTGAACAAGTATTAATTAGAATTGTTTGGCAAAAAGAAGGAATGAAAAGCCATCACATACAACTTAATAACTAAAGTTGCTTATAAACAAAAAATAATAGAGATGTGCTAAACGTGGATATTATCAGATACAAGTAAAGAAATTGGTCATAAACAAACAAATTAACAATAGAGGAAATCCAACTTTTGTCATTCGACAGATTTTCGAAAGACTTTATAGCAACAATTTGATTCTCGAATGATTCTTTTCAATCGAAATATTTCAAAAGTTACTGTCTATTGGAATCAAATTAACGTCATAAGATGATTAAAAATCGAACACTTTTTTTTTAATTACGAGGAAATTAAAGCTTAAGTTAATAATAAAAATATAACTTTATTACCGGATTTATTATCTTAAAATCATTATTTTAATACATTTTGAGTTTTCAATAGATATATCGTCACACTGCACAGCACAAGATATTTTCTTAAGAAAATCAGTAATCATCAACCATTTTAGTGTTATCAATATTTAGACAATCAAATTGATGCCGGTTTTTTATCATGAATAGCGAAATGATCCAACAAAATTTTTTAATACAACAAATTAGCAAGTTATCAAAATGAAATTTTAATCTCTAAAATTACTATAAAAAGAAGTAGTCATTTTAATCTCCAAACATTATCTAATGACATTCACTTTAGCTTCAAAAATTATAAAAAAGTAATGATTAATATTAAATAAATTCATATGATTAATTTAATAATTAACTCATTAATTCAGAGCTAAGTCTTAAGAATATGATGAATTTATTACCTGAAGGTATATCACAACGAAAACAGAAGCAGTTGAGCCAGCCACAATCCCCAAGTACCACCAGTTGAAGAATGAACTCTTGGCATCCTTCTCCTCGGGCGTGTCCTCGTCGAATTGATCGGCGGCGAAGGTCTGAACACAGGGTTTGTGACCTCCGTCGCCTATGGCGAGGACATAAAGTGCCACGAAAAAGAGCAGCTTGTGTTTGAGTACCGACACTGAAAGTGTCAAGAAAATCATGCCCTGTAGCATATATGTTCATGTGACGTTAGGATATGATATTCTGTTTCCATCAAGAATGGCTAAAACTATGTATTAAATTAATTGACAGTGCATGCATGAGGCTCAGTTATAATATGGACAATCACAGGAAATATGCAAATCTTGTACGGAATATTGGAATCATAAGAGATGTGCTCTAGCGTTTGAGTGATTCGTGGAAAGTACCCATAAGAAGAAATACCCCACATAACTAGTAGTGTATCAATAAGAGATAAAAAAATAACAATAATAATGGAATGTGTGTTTTGAAAGTTATGCTTACTACCCTATTAAAATTTATTAATTAATGAATTTTGATATCTTGATCAAGTAATTATAAATAAATAAATAAAAATTGACGACGGTGATAGTAATTAAACTTTAGATTAATTTATAGGTATGTTTGATAAAAATAATTATAAATAATATACAAGTTTATATTACTATTAAAATATTGATTTTAATATGAAGATACTGACTCAAATGAAACTTAATTCATTTTCTTAAATAAAGTCACGAAATTGAGTTTTATTGATGAAAAAAGTAACCAAAAAGAGATACTTCCCTATGAGTTTGAATCTTGTAAATAAGAAAAAATATAATTAGAATGTGAATTTTTAGTCAAATTTTTTAATAAAGATTGATCATTAATAAAATTGCTGATACTTTATAACAATAATATGATTATTAAAAAAATATTAATATATATATATATATATGTGTGTGTAATATTCTTTAAAATTAGTAAAAGTAAATAAAAGTAAAAGTAAAAAAGTAACCGGTGTGAATTGGATTGAAACCACAGGAAAATTTATGGATAGTGGGGGAGGGGGTTTGTGATGACAAACTTTTTCTAGTGTTTGATTTGACGCGTTGATTTTCCAATTCAAAATATTGAAAATCTCACAAGAGTCACTTGCGTTTTAGCATCATGAGAGGTGGATGAGATAAGAAAAGATAAACATCAACTTACATCAGGAATCAAGTATCTCCTTAGTTTGAATTTATAATCTTTATGTCCTGGCTTGTTGTATACTTATAAAGTGGATTTTTACTTAAATTGGTCTAAATGTTTTCGTATTTATTTTAAATTTAAATTTAAACAAAATTTACAAATCTCAGTATTTAAAATCTTTTCGACTAAGTGCATATAAAATTCTGGAATGAATTGAATTTCAGATTCTAATGATTTTTATTTTGAAACAAGAAAGATTTATATATGAATATTCATTCATAGAAATACTATTAAAATATAAAATAATTACTACTAATTTTAAATTATATTATCCAATATAATATACAAATGAGTCTCACATGTTTTTTTAACAAAAATGAGTCTCACATGGATCCTATGTTTTTCTCTCTCCTTGCCACTAGTTAATGTTAATGAAGAGAAATCCAAAAATTTATTATTCAATATCTCTAAAATAATACTCCATAATGGTTAAGGTATGTACCAAAAAAATGTAACAAAAATAATAATGAAGAAATCAATATATATATATATATATATATATATATATATATATTTTTAATTATTCATTTCAAAAAGGAAATCCATAATTATTTAGAAAATCATTTTTTTAGAATTTAGAAAATTATTTAATTACAAATTTAAACAAATTCAATAACAAATTGTTTTGATAAAAATATCTTTAATAATGAATTTTTAGTAATGCATTTATCAAGGAGTTCAGATATTTCAATAAAATTACATAAATAAATAAAAACATATTTATAATTATTTTTCTACACAATTATCATTTTTAATATATGTGTAAAAATATTAAATTATAGTTATTTTGAGTTGAAAGGAATATTGATTATCACTTAACAATAAATTAATGAGAAAATAGATTATGCATTAATAATACAAAATAATTTTACTAAGTCATTCAATCATGATAAGTAATAAATTTGTTAGTTCCTAAAATAAATAGTCAAAAATCCATACTAACAGTAAATATAATTGATTAATAGTGCAAAAATATTTTATATTATTAAATACTTGATTTCCAGTCAAATGTTGTTATTTAGTCTTGGATAATTTTATTTGAAATAATAATTTAATATCAAACTTGTACCCTCTAATAAAAATATTTCGGGGAAATTTAATTTGTTAACTAATTTGGATAAACATTAAAAAAAATTAGGATACATCCCAAAATCGTATATTTGTCCAATTTCAAACTAAAATGGTAATTCCATAATACAATTAAAGGTTTTGTTGAAGATCGAGGTTCTCTTCAATACATTACAATTAGAAAAAGAAAAAGACAGACAGTAAATTGTTAAAATTATCCTGAGATACATTTATTTATTTATTTATTTATTTATATATTTAACAAACCTGAGATACATTTTAAAGCCATGATGGAAGTGATAGTTATTTTGTAATTGTATGGCTTAATCCGTGTCGAAAAGTACAACCAGTTACTTACTTGCAGTTGACTGCGATGAAACACCGCGGTTACGAGATTCCGACGAAATTAAAAAAAAAAAACAAAAACAAAAACATTAAATAATTTAACCTAAAACATTTATTATGGTTACCACTAGCGCGGGACCACCTACGTAACACAAAAAACTCGGAAAAAGACAAAGTTGTTGCATCCGAAGAGCAGTGAGCACAAAAATTAGATTCCACACATGGAGCAAGAATCAAGAGGGAAGAACCAAGACTCAACGCAACACAACACAACACTTTACCCAAAAGAATTAAGCATCACGAAACAGTGAAAAAATTGAGTACTTTGGGTGGGGTGTGAAGTAAAAAAAAATAAAAAAGAATTAACTTACCACGAGGTAAATGAGCGATGAGACGAGTATTGTGTTGAAGCGACCCAGATAAGAATCAGCGATGAAGCCACCAAGCAAAGGGAAGAGAGAGGAGGCTCCCACCCATGTGTTCACATCCTTGGCTGCTTCTGTGATGGGTTCATTCAGAACATTTGTGAGGTATTGGATGAGGTTACTAGCCAACCCTTGGTATGCAAATCTCTCGGCGAATTCCACAACTAGAATCATAAAAATAATGAAAAAATCACAACCATATATATATGTATATGCACAACTACATGGTGAAATCAGAATCAATGCAGAAATAAAATTGGTCTAGTGGGAGAGGCTAATCTTGTGACAACATGCATGATGGAGCAAGATTCGATCAAGACATGGTGAGAAAGAGAGAAAGGGGAAATGGGTGTGGATTTGGACTCACATATGATGAAGATGGCAGCATGCCATCCACCCTTGAAGTTTGTGGGGTGGTGGATGAGGGAATTGCTGTTGCAATTGCTACTGGCATCATCAGCCATGGTTGAGAAGAATGAATTGGGGTTGGGGGTTTTAGGTTTGGGGAGGATCCTCCATGGGGGGGTTATATATATAGGGTGAAATGTGAGAGTGAGTGTGAGAGTGAACCTGAACCTGAACCAGAAGCAGATAGCACTTAAGTTTGGAGAAAAGGGGATTTGGAAAATTGAAATAAATGGTTAACAACTTTTTCTACCTCTGCACCACACTGGTGAGTCAGTGGGCTTTTTGACAAAAACGAGCGTTGATGAAAATTGGCTATTTTATTTTATTTTATTTTATTTTATTTTATGCACCGTTTGTATGTTTTGGTATGTCACACTTCATTCATGCCAGAGTGTCATCCTACTGTGCACTTTGGGAACGTCAAAGATGGCAATTTATGCCACCGTCCTTCATGTGCATATTAATTTGCCACTGTTAAAGCTTAGTTCAACAGATTTGGATTTTTACAAAAGTAAATCTTAAAATGTTCTCGGAATAGTTATTGTTTTTTTTAAGGTAAAAGTTATAACCATGTCAATACCTTTTAAAGTTCAGCTCTTATATATATCACTTCAACTTTCAACACTACTTAAATCTAAGTGATTTTTTGGGTTCTATTATTGACCATCTTAATTTTATTTTTTTTAATATATAACTTTTAAGTTTATACTTTTAATGACAATATATTAATAATAGGGTCTTTTATATTAAATAGTTTTTTTAATAATCATTTTTTTTCTTATAATTTTATAAAATTTATCTTTTAGTTCCTATAATTAAAATTAATTGTTTTATTTTATACTCTATACATATTACTTTTTTTTAGTTACTAGCATCTACTACTATGAGACTAGCCAGTAAAGTTTATGATATATAAGAACAAATGACATTATACAAATTAAAAAAAAAAACAAAAAGTATGTATAAGAATTAAAATGAAATATTTTTAATTATAAGAATTAAAAAGATATAATTTATAAAATTATAAAAATTAAAATAGTAATTAAATTGAAAATATATTATTAACATAACGAATTTTTATTTGATAATTATGCAATTTAGCTATGCATAATAAAATTTATATATTATGTTAATAAATTGAATTTATTCATTCATGTTTCATATATTATCAAATTTTAGTTGAGTTGAACTCATGATTATAATCATTTAATTTTTTTATCAGAAAAATGTAACATAATAATTTATAAATGATATTATTAGAAATATAATTAAATAAAAAAGGTAATTAATACTATATTGAAAAATTGATATCATATTTATTTTTTATTCTTACACGATACTTAATTTGGGATAGGAGAATAATGTTTATTTAAAAATTAAAATAGATAATATTATAATTTTAATATAAAAAAAAGAGCAAAAAGTAAATTAATTAATATGTTAAAAATATATACAAAAAAGCATTCGAAATTTCTAAATATTCACAAATTTTTAATAGTTTATTAATTAGGTTTTTAAAGTTATTATTTTTAAGTATTCACAAATATTTAATAGTCTATTGAATAGTTTTTAAAAAATAATTTCAAGATTCTTAATAACTAGTCTCTTTGGACTTATGTATATATACATCATATGCTTAATTCTTTTTTGACTAAAATATAAATAATTTTCAATAAATTTAAATTATTTAATATTTTGTTTTATTAATTCTCCTAAGACAATAAATTAGAGTATTATGTATAATTAATGTGATTAAACACATCTTAAAAAATAGAGTGTATATGTGAAGTTAAGACAGACACAAGTAGGAATGACAACTTGTACTCGTGGGTGTTGAGATTCATGGAGTTGTGAATCAACTCAGATTTGGAGTATGAAAGTTTTGATGATAACAAAGGGTGGATTCTGAAAATCAAAGCTGACCAAGGACATCAACAAGTAAAAAACAAGTCAAGAAGAAGATATGACTATTATGATGTGTAATAGGAATAGTTTATAATTAAGTTCCTATGAGTTGTATTGGTTTGATTAGTTTATTTTGCATGTGTGTGCTTTCTGCATGAGTTAGTTTTAATCTAAATTGACTGAGAGTGAGTATGATGATGATTTAAAATACTTGGAAAGAATTATTGAAGTATAAAATTGAGTTTTTGAGAACTAACTCAAAATAATCGATTATCATTAAATGTAATTGATTATTCCAACAATAGGTGAAAGGAACCTTGTTGTTATAATCGATTATTTATGAAATAATCGATTATTCCAGGAAGCACTCTCTGGAATAATCGATTATCCTGCAAAATAATCGATTATTCTATTCTTGAGTGGTTTCCAGAAATCATGAAGAACAAAATAACCGATTATCCTTTAAAATAATCGATTATCTGGTTCTGAAATTTTTATAAATAGCTTTCACACTTTGAAACTTCAGAACACAGAATGAATTGAGAATCAAAAAGAGAAAAACCATATTGTGAAGTCTTTGTGACCTTCTTGGAGTGTTCTCTTTGTGAAACCAAGAAGTAAAACATTTTGGAATGCTTTGAAAGAGATCATCATCATTACATTCTTGGGAGAGGAAGATTAAGATTTGCTTTTGGAATTCATAGTCTGATATGTTCAACTTCCAGGTGAATTCGTTCCTTTAATTCTTTGTGAAAAATGTAAGAGAAATCTTGAGTAGGGGTAAGGAATTCTTGTAGTGGGTTTCTACAAGAAGTGTTTTCTTGGGGGCAAGAAAGTGGTTATCTTGAATGTAGGAGTATATGCATGTGTTGTATGCTTGTAAAACTTCTTCACTGAGATAGTGGAACAAATCGTGATCAGGTTATGATTGAGGACTGGATGTAGGTCACATGTGGAGTGGCTGAACCAGGATAAAAGACTTGTGCATTCTTCTCTCTCACTCTTATCTTTTACTTTGAGAAAAATCTTAGTTGAGTGCTAAAGTGAATAATCTTGGTTAATATGTTTGTATGCACAACATTGCTTTAAACTGAATCAAAGTGTTGCATATTAAGTGTTCTTAACATTGAACTTTATCAAGATTAATCAAGAAAGCATATAGGACTCATCCCCATTAGCAAGTCTTTCAAGGAACATCTTTGAGAATTCATATTAGAAAAGTTTAAGTTGAAATAAAGATCCTTAGAACTCTGAAAAATTTTTAAGTGTCATAGAATCCAATTCAACCCCCTCTTGGATTAAGCCATTCTTTTCTAACAATTGGTATATAGAGCAAGGTTCTTGAGTGTTAATCAAGATTTCAAAAATAGCCAACAACAACCTACCTTATGGTGAGGGTGTGTCTATTCATAAACATCCTGTTTTCAATGGTGAAAACTGTTTATTGAAAAATTAGGATGGGAATTTTCATTGAAGCAATTGACATTGCTGTGTGGGATGCAATTGAAAATGGACCCTATATCCCTATGACCAAAGATGATGATGGAAAGAGAGAAAAACATTGGAGTGAGTGGAGTGATGATGAGAGAAAGAGAGCTCAATATGACTATAGAGCAAAGAACATTATTACATCTTCATTGTCTATTGATGAGTTTTTCAGAATTTCTCAATGGAAATCTGCTAAAGAAATGTGGGACACTTTACAAGTTACTCATGAAGGAACAAGTGATGTAAAAAGATCTAGAAAGCATACTCTTATAAGAGAATATGAATTTTTTAGAATGAATCATGGTGAATCAATTTCTGATTTTCAAAAAAGGTTTACACACTTGATAAATCACCTTGTTGATCTTGGCAGGAAATTTGAAGAAGAAGAACTAAATTTGAAAGTGCTACAATGCTTGGATAGATCTTGGCAAGCAAAGGTTACTGCAATAGAAGAATCAAAGGACTTAACTTAATTGACCCTTGCAACTCTCTTTGGAAAGCTAAGAGAGCATGAGCAAAAGTTGCACATTTTTTAGGAAAATGAACAGCAAGACAAAAAGGGTAAATGAGTGTCTCTAAGAGCCTTGAAATCAGTCAAAGGCAAAGAAGTATGTGAAGACTCAAGCTCCGAAGATTCTGATTCAGAGAACTTCAACTTGCTGGTGAAGAAGTTCAGAAAATTTCTAAGAAAGAAGAGGAGTTCCCCCTACAAGTTCAACAAGAAGGCCAACAAGAAAGAGGAAGGAAGCACATCCTCTTACAATTGTTTTGAGTGTAGAAAACCAGGCCACATAAAAGTTGAATGCCCCAACCTTCTAAAGAAGCAATAAGAGGAAAAGAAAGGGAAGAAAAATTACAAAGGAAAAAGAGCCTACATTGCTTGGGAATACAATGACTCAAGCACAACAAGTGATGAATCTGAATTTGAGGAAAACAACTTATGTTTGATGGTTGGAGCTGATCAAGACACAATAGTAAATGATTCTGATCTTGAATCTAATCCAGATTATGATCAACTTCAAGAAGCTTTCATTCAAATTCACAAAGAAGCTGTGAAATTAGATGCTTTAAATTCAAAGCTTAAAAACAAGTTGTCATGGTATGAAAATGCTTTAATTAGAGCTGAACAAGAGCTTGAAAATTTGAAAAATAAACATGAAAATCTTCAAACAATTTTGGACTTCAATGAAGCTCATTGTGAAACCTTCCATTCTTCAAAAGTTGATTGTGAAAATTGCAAGGTTTTGGAAAAAGAAAATGCTGATTTGAAAAACACTCTTACAAAGTTCACAAATGGAAATGCAAATTTGAATATCATTTTGGGAAAGCAAAGACATGCTTTTGATAGAAGCGGACTTGGTTTTAATCAAAGCATGAACATGCCATTAAAATCAAAGGAAAGAGTTTTTAAGAGGAACCAATCTTTTAGAAAATACAAAGGAAATTTCATTGAACAAACTACTTGCTTTTATTGTTGTAAGAAAGGTCATACAATAAGGAATTGCTATTATAGGAAATATGGTGTTCCAAATGTAGAAATGATTTGGATTAAAAAGAGTCAAAGGCTGAGAACTAACCATCAAGGACCCTTCACATGGGTACCTAAATCAATTTTCTGATTTTGTTGTAGGAATGCTTGAGAGCCAAAAGATTATCATGGTATCTTGATAGTGGCTGCTCAAGGCATATGACTGGAGATACTTCAAAATTCTCAAGTCTAAAATTAAAGAATGAAGGATTTGTTACTTATGGTGACAACAACAAAGAGAAGATTCTTGGTCATGAAAATATTGGTAACCCTTCCTCCTCAACATTGATTGAAAATGTATTACTTGTTGAAGGGCTGAAACATAACTTGCTTAGTATAAGCC